ATATGAGTCATCGTATTGACATTAACCATCCATAATCCGTGTAAATCAAGAATCAGTTTTCACAGTAATTGACGGGTTAAAAACTTAAACAAATAATGAAAATAAAGATTGTATTGTGTGATAAAGATATAAAATAACTTTAAATAGGATTTTCTTTTTGGTTTATGTCTTGTATTTTTGGGTAGAATTAAAGATAAAGTAAATTTTTAAGTTCTGATGAAGATATTATATAACTTAAAATAAATAAAAAAAGAAATTACTTTGCAAACTTTTAAACGAAAAGATCTTTAATGATATCAATCAAGTGGACTTTAGTCATTAACCTTCGTTGGTGATAATAAGGACTTGCACTCGAACATACATGGTGACAAAACCAGCGTCGTCATTGTTCCCATTTTCCAAACGCTTCTAGTAGTCGGCACAAAAAATTAAATCTCAAATTGTATGTTTATCTATTTTTTGTTCTCCTTTTGAAAAAACTACAAATAGAAACATTTAATAATTATATCTATAAAAGTAATATTTCACTTTCTCTTTATTGGTTCATTTAATAATTCATTTCAAACAAAACAGAGACAAAACAACTAATTGATTGTCTAAAGTTAATCATGAGAGTTGAAAATAAGAGAAAGAGAGAAGAAACCTAAAGGGACAAACATATCTTCGAGAACCACACATCCTTGTTGGAGATTTAGATTTGGCAACTTATTTGGCATAGTCAATCCTATACTTTCTATTTTCAGGATCATTGTCTTCAATTTGGACAAAATACGAACCCTTCGCCATTTCTATGGAATAAAAATCATATAGAAGATAATGTGGTTTTGTTAGACAACTATAGACACCCATTTTCTTCCTAGCGCCTCCAACACCATCACCATTACTTCAGGTGAAACATGTGTATATCCTTCATTCCCTGTCTCTTTACCATTGCTAGATTTACATCTAATCACATTTTCTTCGTTGATTTCTATACAATCAAGCATCAAAACCTCATGTCCCCCACTTGTGTAGTAAGACAGGTTCATAGGACCTCTATAAATTTCACTATCTTCCCAATTATCAAAGCAAGTTAGAGTAGCAGCAACCGGATGGGTTTTCAGACGTATTAAACCTCCTCTAAAGTATATGATATTTAAAAGCATCGGCTATGCCATACTTTTTCTCATATGGCAAAAGCGGCATCGCCAAACAAAGTGAATTCTGATTGTAACTAAATTAAAAACAGTCTGTTTCGTTTATTGATTTTAAGATGTTTTGATGTTTGAGTCATTAGATATTTCATGTTTGGAATTTTTTGGACTTCTTATTCCTCTATCCCTTTACTAAGTGTGTTTGTTTAATCGATAGTTTTTAAGATGGTTGGTAGGTTTATTGAACAATACCTTTCATGGTTTTGAGTTTTTGGTATGTGACATGAAAAATCTAGTTAAATATAATCCTTTACATGATGATTGGTGTGTTTCAGTGATTTCAGTTGTTTTAAAACCACTCGTGACTGTACTTGAATTGCAATAGAAATGCCTAATCGTCGTTGAAGTACATATTTAGCACAAGAAAATCATTTGAGGCCAATCAACTCAATAATCAATATAAGTCATCATATCGATATTAACCATCCATGATCCGTGTAAATCAAGAATCGGTTTTCACAGTAATTGATGTGTTAAAAACTTAACCAAATAATGAAAATAAAGATTAGATTGGGTCATAAAGATATAAAATAACTTTAAATAGATTTTCTTTTTGTTTTATGTTTTGTATATTTGGGTAGAATTAAAGATAAATTAAAATCTTAAGTTCTAATAAAGATATTATATAACTTTAATTTTTTAATTTTTTATTAAAAAAGATATTGCAAAGATTTTCAATGATATCAATCAAGTGGACTTAAGTCATTAACCTTCTTTGGTGATAATAAGGACTTGTACTCGGACATACATGGTGACAAAACCAGCGTCATCATTGTTCCATGAAGTCCGTTTTCCAAACGCTTCTAGTAGTGGCCACAAGAAAATTTAAATCTCAAATTGTATGTTTTATCATTTTTTTCTCCTTTTAATTAGATTATAATCAATTAAAAATATAAATAGAAAAAAGTAAAATTAATATTAACCATTTTTTTCCCCTCCATGTCATTCAAACACACTATAAATTATAATTTTAACTCCCATAAGTTAAATATTTTTTAAATGTAATTTCCATCACCTCTCATCATAAAACTAAATTATTCTTTCATCCTTATCTCAAATCCTAATTATTTTTTATTTCTTATGTTGTTGTTGCATGGGTTGAAAATCAATTGAGAAATCATTGTAAAAGTTTGATATATTCTAATTTTTATTTCTAGAGACTATGTCTTACATTGTTTTAAATTTATTTTAATTCTAATGCGTTTCTAGAATATACTTATTATTCCCTCTTTAGTTTTCATTTTTAATTCAAAATTATATATATACTAGATAAGACCTGCGTAAATACGCGGGTTAGAAAATAAATATAATTTTAATCGATAATATTTGAAATCTAAGTAATAATCTATTTATTTTTTTGATAAAAAAATATATATGATAATTCTTTTAAACTGGATTTGAACTTCATATATACCATTTTCCAATACAATTTAACTATCTATACCATCATAATAAACAATATTTAAACATTTATGCACTTAATGGATTAGAGCTAAAAAAGTATATCAAACACAATTTATACATAATATCAAATTTATATCTTAGTTACAATTAAAAATAATTTAGAAATTAACAAAACACAATCATTATAAAAGTAAATTATAATTCACAAAGAAAATTGGAAACCCAACATTTACTTTTTCTTAGTTTTAATTTGAGAATGAAAGAAATATTTATTTAGATTTTCTTTAAATCTAAGTATATATTTTAGATTTTAAATTTTTCATATTTATGTTAACATAATGTCCAAATCTAATTGGTTGTAATTTTTACACTTGTTAAAATCTTAACGAAACACTTGCCATGTGTCGCGATCTTATGAGTTACTAACTTTGAAAACCATACTTTATATAATAAGATAACTAAAATTTGATGTCTATAACAAAATTTTCAATTTTATCGATGTAGATAAGAATATTGATTCCATCCATCGCATAACTATGAAATCAAGTTGAAATATCAAACTTCATTCTCTACTTTAGATATTTGATTATTTTCTAACATATTCATGTATCTTTATAATGAAATCATTATTGTAATACATTTATCAAATAATTATTTTTCTTCATTTTATCTCAAATAATTTTTTTTAACATTTTCAATTATATAAAATCATTAAAAATTTTAATTTATTCAAGGTTTATGGTTTTAAGATTTTTTTCTAAATTTACATCTTTCTTGTCTTAAATAATTTTCTTAAAATTTTTAATATACTCGTCATTACTTTTTCATAGAATAGAGATAGTTATATAATCATTCTAATGTTTATATTATTCAATATTTGTTGTTTTAAGTTTTGTTTTCTAAAATTACTTCTTTCTTAGCTCGAATAACGTTTTTGTAATTTTTTTTTAATTTACTCATCAATACATTTAGTTTTTGTGATCTACTATATAATTTTGTAAAGATCTGTATTGATATTTATTTTATTCATGGTTTGTTGTATAATACTATGAAATTACACTGTTGTCATTAATATTTTAATTTTTTGTGTGTTTTGACCTCTCTTTTTTTCGGCTTTGTGTTTTGACCTCAAATGCACAAAAGTACTAAAGAAAAACTTTTATCAAATTTGAAGAATAAATAATGGAATATATTCAAAAGATATGTATGTATGATCATATTTAAATAAGTTATATATATTAATATTGTATAATTTGGATAAATAAAAGTGTAAGAAAATGTTATGTATATCTTGTAAACAAATTATTTTCTGAGTTTAAGTCTCTTCTTCTTAATTTTTTTATAATATTATTGTGTAGCTCCTATTAATTAGATTTATGTGAAACTCTTACTAAATTTAAAATCAAAGTCAGTAACTCATAATAAATAATTAGAAGAACATCGCTACTCAACCCACTAAAATACTTTTATTACTCAAATTAAATCAAATTGACCATAATTTATAATTTGCATAGTTTTCCTACTAATCTACAAAAATTGTAACCCCTAAATGCATTTATTTTCTAAATGTAACTTTTTTTTTTCTAAAGATTCTAAATGTAAGTTCCACTACTCATCATTCTATAATAGTTATTCTTTCAGTCTTTTCCACCATATCTTAAACTTTTAATATATGCATAATGATCTAACATGTAAAAAAAAAAGGGATTATTGTCTAAAATGCCATTTTTGCATGACCATTTTTCAAAAATGCCATTTTTACAATAATTTTCAAATTTGCCATTTTTGCAACTTGTAAAAACTAAAAAATTTGGAAATTTTTTTCATAAAACAGATACTTCATAACAAAAACTATACCCTACAAAAAACTAGAACCTAATAAACCCAAACATCATGTGTAAATTTATGTTTTAATATATAAGAAAATGGCATATTTGAAAGTTTTTTGGCCAAATGGCAAAACTTATAAACACCCCTCAAATAAGTCCCTTATTAGTAATTGATTCAAAAAAAAATTATGCAACAAGTCCGTAGCCACGCGCCGTACATCCACCTAGCGATCGAGACATAAAATTAGCAATCCAATTACACAAATATTTTTAAAACAAACCATAGGTGGCAGTTGCCCCTCCCAAAACCTATGTACGTCCTCCAATGTACATAATTTTAAGTACATGCTTGCAAGAAATTTAATTTACACAATTTCTTAGTTGCATAAACAAATCCCACCAATGATCTAACCCTCTATAATTAATCTAAAATTAGAGATCTTTCCCAAATAATTGTAGTCTGCCTAAAGTTTCTCATTGCCTCTTTCTTTAAATAGCTTAAGAAAATCACTGGTCATATATCTGGTCAGAATATATTATATATATGCATATATCGAAAAATCATCCTATTCAATTTCACAACAAACAATCTACACACACAACAACAACAACAACAACAACAACAACAACAACAATAACAACAACAAAATGTCAAAATCTATCTTTTTACTTTTTCTTCTGATAATCGTCTTCGTCTCAGCATCTCAAGCAAGTCGTCAACTCTGGGATGGTGGAATCAGCGAAATGTTTGGATCCAAATCCGGGTTTCACGGATTTTCAGGGTTTTCGGGGTCCTCTGGAGGTGCTGGAGGATCATTCGGAGATATGATGAATGCTGGAGGTGCACATACATGCTCGGCGCAAGGAGCTTGTAAGGGTAAGAAGCTGACATGTCCTGAGGAGTGCTACAAATCAACCAACGTTAACAAGGATGGTTATAAAAGCACCAGCCGCAGCGGAGGATGTTCATTTGACTGTACGACCAAGTGTGCCGCGACTTGTTCAAATTAACATGTTAATTTGCACATATATATTATATGTTCTTATATTATGTTGATATGTTATGTTATAACACTATATAGTCTATATATATGAATATGATAAACCGGCAACTATATGGGAGAGTTTAGGTCTCCCTTTGTAATTTTGTATGGATCTTGATTAGAAGCTTTCTATGAATCTATGTACATAATATGATTTTGAATAAAAGAAAATTTAGTGTTTCTTAATTGTGTTAGAAAATCTCTAAAGCTTTATACATGCCAGGAAATTTGAGACTATATACATAGCACAATCAAGGTGTTTTGGCGCACTATATAGAGTTTTAGTTCATGTGTTTTCAAAGATGAACAAGACATTAGCATCATATGGCTATAATACATAAGATTATTAAGAAAATTCTTATAAGCCATTCATCAGATTTGTAAGCATATAATATTCACGTCTTATGAATGTTAAAACTTAAAAGCCCCAAAAACGTTACGAATCAAAACAACTAATGCATTTATATGTCTTTCGATGTTCTTCATAATTATAAAAAAATTTATCATTTATTAGGTTCATTTTAGAGATTCGATGATTATATTCAGAAAAAATCGATATATCAAATTGTAAGGAAAACAACATAGATCTTTGGAATAGTTATAGCTAGTATTTTAATTCACATTACGGATTGTTGTTTATCTTCATCTTGCATCTGTGATCTATTCATTTCATTCCATTCGTTATGCTTATTCTATACTCATTGCATTCCTATGTTCTGCCACCAAAATTTATCATATGACTAGCATGTTTTTTTCACCAATTTTAAAAATACTGATTACTTGTTATATCTAAATGTATTATAAAGTAAAATAGTTTTATTTCTTTTCATAACCCATACTAATTATTCCAAAATATACGATGAATAAATGATGTATACTATAAATAATTGTGATTTGAATGATTTTGTCAGCGGTGACCACAATAAATGCCACTAGATCACTATTTGTGTTTGGTGAAAGACGAATTATACTTTTTCTGTTCTACAAAAAAGTGTCGGGTCTAATTGGTAACCAAAAGCTGTACAAGTTTTTTAGTTGTTAGCTGGAGCTGTAAGCTTCAGCGGTAAGCTTCAGCGGAATAGTACAAAACTGTAAAAAAAAGTTGTACAAAAAAAATGTACAAAAAAACTGAGAGTAAAACTGTTAGTAACGCTTTTGATAAAGATTTTGTGATTGGTAACTGTTAAAGTTGTACACCATGTACCGCTTTGACTATGGATAACCATTCAAAGCCATCATTCTCCCAAAAAAACATTTTTGTTGTTTTTATGTTTTTAGTATGAGTATATTCAAACCATATTTATAATTTACCGTTTATCAAAAGCGAATAAAGTTTAAATTTAAATCATCATTATTTTATTAGTCTTATATATATCGAATAAGAACCTATTTGAATTCTTAAAATTATATTTTTAAAATTTGTGTCAAATTTTTCATAGCAACACTTTAACATAGGGAGTACTAGTAGTATGCTTTGATGATACGGATCGGATAGCTTAAACAAAATAATTGCAAAAAAATATAAAGTACAATCTTAGTATAGCATGATTCACTATCACAAATTATCAGGTTAACTAAAATTAAAGATCCTCCCACATAAAAAAGATTGTAGTCTCCCTTATTTTTCTCATTACCCCTTCTTTTAAATAGCCTTTTAATATTCTTCATAGAATCAACTTCAAATTTAAACTTAAACTTCCGGCCTCTCTTATATGACAACTTTAACAAATAAGATCTTACTTCTTTTCTTCAATAAATATTTCCTCTATTCAGTTCTTGTTATTTTATTTTGTAGAAAATAGTTGAAGGAATGTCTAAAGTTTGTTGGTTAGTTGCTGCCATCATGTTTGCAGCGGCCACGATGGTTTACGGGCAACAAGAGCCGTGTTTCTTCGTCTTTGGAGACTCCATGTCCGATAATGGAAACAATAATAACTTGAAATCTGAGGCAAAAGTCAACTTTTCACCTTATGGTATTGACTTTCCCCAAGGCCCGACCGGCCGTTTTTCCAATGGCCGCACTATCCCCGATATTATCGGTTTGTTCCCGATTCATTTCCTCAAGTAACTCGACATTTGGATATCCTCTATATATTTTTTGAAAATGAAGAAAGAAAAGGTTTTAAAATATCATGCACAAATGAAAAATATCGTACGAGAGACTTGAGAATTAAAATGATACTTTATAAATTAACATTTTATTGGTAAAGCATTTTTACACTTATGTCACTAGATCCAAAATATTAACATATATCTTCAATATGTTAAAAAATATATTCAAATATCAATTAATTAAATACTTATAATTTCATTTTTACATATTAATTAAAAGTCAAAATTGTGACATCAATAGCTAGTCTCTCCATTTTGTTCCTTCCGTGTTTCATTCATATGCCAAATAATTACGTATTTTTAAAGATATATATGCATGCATAGTCCACTCAATTTTTGTAGGTCGTACGCAATTTTATTAATGGTATATTAGACGTGTTTAAATTTTTTTTCCTTAAAATTATAGGTCTCAAGTTATATGTTTGTATATTCTATTTTCTTACAGATTTTTTCCTTTATAGAGCTTTGTTCGAATGCTTTAATTGCACTTTAGAAAAGACGACTGTGAATATATATAGTAACATACATGAATTTATATAGATTTATGATGTTTTTATCGTCAGGTGAACTATCGGGTTTTAAGGATTTCATACCGCCATTCGCCGGAGCATCACCGGAACAAGCTCACACCGGGATGAACTACGCTTCCGGTGGAAGTGGACTTCGTGAAGAAACAAGCGAACACTTGGTAAGAAGTAAGAACTAGGAAAACTTATAGACTTTGTTTGGTATGATAAATGATTCGGCTTTAATATCTCATAAAGTATAGTTAGTAACTTAGCGTCCGAGTTTTGATGGGATGTTTTAGTTTCAGTAGCTCTAATGTTTTGAATAACAAAACCTTAAATATATATATATAGGGAGATAGAATCAGTATAAGAAAGCAACTACAAAATCACAAGACAGCGATAACGAAAGCGAATGTTCCAGCAGAAAGACTGCAACAATGTCTCTACACAATCAACATCGGAAGCAACGATTACATCAACAATTACTTCATGTCAAAACCGTACAACACTAAACGACGCTACACTCCTAAACAATACGCATATTCTCTCATTATTATTTACCGTTCTCACTTAAAGGTAAAGTAGAACCATTTAGATATGTCCGTGATGTGACATATATTTAAGATAATCATTCATTGGTTTTATTTTTACTAGTTATTTAAATTAGGTTGGTTTTTAGGGTTATCTAATGGTGTTCAGGTTATCAAGTTTTCTTCTAAATAACCAAATTTAGTTATAATGTATTATTTAGTTTTTGATTGATTCATAAAGATAGTTTTGTCTCTACTTGAATTTGTTTTCAGTAGATTTACAGAAATCACAACAAATTTTTAAAAAATCGTTTTATTCGAAAATTTTCTAACTATTGAAACAAATGAATTTGCATGTTTTGATATATATAAGATTAACTTATTCCTCCCATTTCCGCTATAGATGTAGTTTTGTAATTATTTTGTTTATGTGCATGCTTGTAGAATTTGTACCGACTAGGAGCGAGGAAGGTGGCAGTTTTCGGACTCAGTCAAATTGGGTGCACACCAAAGATAATGAAGTCACACAGTGACGGTAAAATATGTTCCCGCGAAGTGAACGAGGCAGTGAAGATTTTTAATAAGAACCTTGACGACCTTGTCATGGATTTCAATAAGAAGGTCAGAGGTGCAAAGTTTACCTTTGTCGATCTTTTCTCTGGTGGAGATCCCCTAGCCTTCAAATTTCTAGGTAAACCATATTCAACTCATGACTTATAACAATGTAACTTTGATCCAACAAATATATATGTAAATTAAAAGAATATTTTAACTCTTAACCAACAATTGAACTTAATTACTCTGGTAATGTCATAGGATTTAAGGTTGGAGACAAGAGTTGTTGCACAGTAAACCCGGGGGAAGAACTTTGTGTCCCAAACCAGCCGGTTTGTGCAAACAGAACTGAATATGTCTTTTGGGATGATCTTCACAGCTCGGAAGCCACCAATATGGTAGTGGCCAAGGGCTCGTTCGACGGAATCATAACTAAACCGTATAGCATCGCCCAGCTTGTGAAGGAATTATAAAGGCTAGCCCCTACACATAGACATGAAAAATGATGACGTTTTGATTTTAGTAGATCTTTAACAGGAAAAATAAATGTGTATATATATTCAATGAACAACAAATTTTGTGCGGTTAATCTCTCTCTCTCTCTCTTTCTCTCTTTTAGTGGAAAGTAAGAAACTCACATTTTTTTAATAGGTATTTGAATTTCATTACACATAATAAGTAAATTATTAGAGTTGCTAATCATTGCCGAAAAGGAAGCTTGATTGGTTCTCCCGCTACCACCCACGTAGCAGTTGTTAGCGGTCGGTTGCGGTTATTAGCGGTTGGTACCAATCATAGAAACCGCTCCATACCACTTCGAACCGCTTGAAATTACTGGATTTCAAAAGCTCCTTTCCGCAAGCGTTTGCGGTTGCGGGCGGTTGCGGTTGGTTAAAAAAAAAGAAAACAAACAAATTAAAATATATATTATCAAGTCTTATATATATTCACGTTAATTCTAAAATAAGAATAATTATCTAACTTTAATTTTCCAATATTAATAATTCTGTTTGTTTTCAATAAAAAATTTATTTGAATACTTATTTATGGTTTTTAATCATTAATCATGTTTAAAAATTTTATACTTTTTCATAATTATAGTTTTTAGTATTTTTATACTTTTTTATAATCAATTAATCATATATTAAATTTATTTTGAAATTTTTTAGTTTAACCGCTATCGTACCCGTTGATCAACTAGTCGTAAATCTCCCGCAAACGCACATGTTTTCAACCGCTAAACCAATCGATCAAAACACTAAATAACGCTTGAAACCGCAACCGCCCGCTTCCACAAACTCCCACAATCGCAACCGCAACCACTGCGTTTAAACCAGTCAAGCCCTAAAATGAATACTTTAACTCCGAGCAAGCCGCTAAGCAAGTCCACGGTCCTAAAAAACGTGGCTGAAAAAAATATTCCTAAACCTGGTGACAGGACCATTGATAGATAGATCATCTGTATTTAATATCTATAATTTATAAACAGATATTTAAGAAAAGTAGTGTGATTAAGGGGTATTTTTAGATTAATGCAATGCTGATTATTTTTTTGCTTTCCCTTGACTAAAGAATTGGTTAGTCAACATGGATGGTTGTAACAATTTACAGAAATCAAATATAAATATTTATCATCATCTTTGCACTCCATCTCAATACAAAAATATGAAGGCAAACCTAAAAATAACTTAGAATTCTTTTTTTTGCATGAATGTCAAATTATATTCACCAAAAAAAGACTGTATTACAATGAATGCAACTTTAAAGCCAAATGTTCAAAAACTTTTGATAGAGAAATTCAACATTAGATGGGGAAACTAGTAATTGTGAGATTGGAACCAGAACTGCATTCCACCTTCGTAAGAACCTGTCAATGCCATGGTGCTTAACCGATTACGGACACTTTTGTCTATCATTCTCGTAAGCTTATGGGCAGGTGTTGGTGTCTCTCCATGAAGACGACCATTACGCTCCCGCCATAGACTATGAATGGTGAGCTGAAAAACATACCTCAGAATTAATCTCCTAGCTAATTTTAACATCCTTAATTTAGCAAAATCTAATGCATCTTCTAACATCTTTATATATATAAAGTAGCCCATTTTCTTCATTTTTTTACAACAAACAAAAACAAAAGGAAGAAGTATTATCAACAATATCTCAATAAATAAAGAAATATGAAGGCATGGGTGATATGTTTGCTAGTGATTTGCGCCGTGGTGATTGCGGAACCAGTGGAAAGTCGGGAATACATAGAATATGGTGCGATTAACAAGTGTGCGGGTCCTAATCCTCCTCCGGGATGCAATCCTCCCGGGGCCGAACAGAAGAACCCAACTCCCGTTAACGAGTATAGCCGTGGCTGCAGCAAAATTCATCGGTGCAGGCGCGACTGAACCCGAAGTGACGTTCATCATTTAAACTGATTCATACATGCATATGTATATGCGAATATGCTAGGTGTTTTATGTGTTTCAAATTAGTTATTAATGGATTAATCATAATCATTGTATCAGAGATATCAAATGTATATATATATATATTGTTATTGATTTAAATTATTATAGTAATTAAGTAATTATATAGTGTTCATAACTCTCCTTAATTTATATTAAAAAAAAATTTTGCGGCTTTGATTCGATTTATCCCTTATATATTAATTGAGAAGCATTTTAAAAAAGTAACATTATCATCATTTGTGATTAACGAAAATACCATGCTAATTAACATGTCTTTCTCACAGATTTTTTTAATCTATTTAGTTAAAGACCCAACATTTATTAGGATATTTACAGATTTTGCCATTAGTTTTACTTATGTTTATTTTTTTTAATTGATTTATGCTTTTTATTTTTCTCAATTAATTAAAACAAAAATATAATTAAAATACGTAATTAAGAGATACAAATCTATAAAAAATAGAGTACCTAATATTTTGTGTATCTATTAATATAACAAGATATATATCATAAATCATGATAAACATAAAATTTAATACATAAACGAAAATTTTTACTAATCTTGATAATCATTAATACACTACCGTTTATCTAATAATATAAAGTTCGAACACTTTCAATATTATCAATATATTAAAATATATTTAATAATCGTTAACATTATAAAATTTCAAACTGGAAAATTCGTAAGAAAAATAACTAGACGCAAAAAGGACTAGCAGAATAATTAAGCAGAAAAAAAAAACAAAATATTATTGGTCACAAACTGTAAGATGATTAGTGGAACATTTAAAAATTGGCATGATATGGACCAACGAAAACAATGAAGCTGAATGCCATTAATGCAATATCATAAAACACTAGAAACTTGGTTCTTGGTAGACGAATGATTACATTTTCTCTAATATTTCTATCTCTAGCATATGCATAAATACTTTATAATATAACCGTCTTTTGAAAAACTTAATTTATAATTATGCTGTAATTCTTTTCCTTCTTATTTTAACATTTAAGTCTTTCTCAAGTTTTCTTTACCTTGGTTTGCATCTTCTTCTTTTGTTTTTTGTTTTTTTTTTTTTATAATCAAAACTAGTATTTTCTTTGCAGATATTTTCCTCAATTCATTACAGATTTTAAAACTTTATTGGTTATTTGTCGTTTTCAATTCGTATTACTCTAGCCATTAGGCCACATATGCTAGCTTTCATATGCACGTTATAAGTAAAATAAATTTTAAGGAAATGCAAAAAAAAATATTTTGGGATGATATTTTTTAAAGAACTAAAATCATGTCATTCACATATGAGGAAACTGAAGCAGTGAATGAACCTGAGGACGAACATTCAAGTAGATCTGCGGAATTTGTTTCGATGATTTTTGTTTGCAACTTACGGCTTAATTTATTATGGGAATGGTAAGCAAAACAGTTAAACTGCAATTACTACCATCGAAATTTCAAAGATTTTTTTTTCTTCATTGAACAATGAACATGAACATTGTTCGGAACGAACACGTTAAATCATTTAAGTTTAGAGACCGTTCATTGAAATTACCTCTAGGTAGCTGAGGTTTTGTCACGTAAAAAAAACATGAGTTGTTTTCTGCTGGAGGTGTGCTTTGATGAGTTTTTTGGATGCAAGGTTGTAGATCAAAATGAGGGGTTTTGGACTTGTGATGCGAATTGTGGAGAAAGAAAAAAAGTGGTTACACTAGAGTTGTGGAGGACTTGGAGAAGTTGTACCTGCTGCTAATTGAAGTAAAGAGAGATGATCATATATGCTTTTGTTGTTGAAAGGTATAAGCCATATTTTGGAACGCCAGAATCAGAGAAAAAAGTTTCAAGTAGCCACACAAGACTAGGTTGGAAAAACAGTTAAGGCAATTACAGTGAAATCTTGGGCTGAATCATATATAAACTCTACATGACGGGTTTAGTGGAGCTCGAAATCACAATTTCTCTTCCAATATGTTTCTGTGAGGAGGAATGCCAAGAAAACACAAGACCAATTAATGGGATTAGTGAAGCTAGTAAGATCAGACTTCTGGCATCCTTTTGTTCAAAAGATTCATCTCCTATGGGCGCTTCATGATTTCGAGAGTCAGACGCTATTGATGGTTTCTCATTATTTAGAGATTCAAAGTTTTCATGGTTCATTGAACTTGGGATGGAGATAAACATTGATGTTTCTTGGGCAGAAGTCAAACAAATCTTATGGAGTGGGAACCGTAAGACTATTGATGTAACTACACGACCACGTCCTCTCTGGTATGTGAACTTATCCTTATCCAACGATCGGTACGCTACGTCTGTTAGACTATAAAGACTTGTTTAACAATCTTACAAATCACCTCAAGTTTTGTAATGATTCACACGGTTCTGAGAATCACTTCTCGGAAGGTCAACTATTCTGAATTTGCTTCAGCATAAGCACGCTTAATTGTGGAGTACTTTCAGGATGTTTGACCGAAAATATAAGTGCACTTTGGTGACATAGGTGTCAGATCAATTATTTAAAATCTATCCATATGCACCACCATATTTCCCGAAATCGAGGTGTATTAAGAATACTTTGATTATAATGGAAAAATATTCTAAACAAAATCGACCAATGTCTTTTACTTTGCTTTGTAGCCATAAAAAGCAAGGCCAAAATCCTCCATTTTATCTTGATCTGCACTATTTGTTATTTTCTATTCTTTTTAGATTATATCAAATATGGTATGATTAGTAGATAGCCTAAATTATTGTTTAGTACTTTTAGCTCATGAACGCTAAAATTCAACAGAGAGATGCACGGTTTCGATCCATAAAACGTAATGGCTTTACTAATTAAGTACATGTAGTTTTTATAGTAGAACAAACAATATCTCAGTCATAACATGAAAAATAATGTAATCCTGATTATAATTTTGTTAATTAGTCAATATAGACGGTTGTAACAATTTACAGGAATCAAATAGAAATCTTTATCATCTTCTTCGCACTTCTGTCTCAATACAAAAATATCAATGCAAACCTAGCTAGCTAAAAATAACTCAGAATTCATCTTTTAGCTAATTTTAACATTCTTAATTTAGCTAAATCTAGTGCATCTTCTAACCTCTTTGTATATATAAAGTAGTCCATTTTTCTTCATTTTTACAACAAACGGAAACAAAAAGAAGAAGTACTATCAATAATACCTCCATAAATAAAGAAATATGAAGGCATGGGTGATATGTTTGCTAGTGATATCCGCCGCGGTGACTGCGGAACCAGTAGAAAGTCGGAAATACATAGAAGATGGTGTGATTAACAAGTGCGCGGGTCCTAATCCTCCTCCGGGATGCCATCCTCCTGGGGCCGAAGATAAGAAACCTACTCCCGTTAACGAGTATAGCCGTGGCTGCAGCAAAATTCATCGGTGCAGGCCGGCGCGACTGAGCCCGTAATAACCTTCATCATCTAAACTGATTCTTCGTCTCTATGAGCTCTGTACGTATTTGCTTTACATGCATATGCATACACTCGTACATGCAAGTGTTTTATGTGTTTCAAATTAATTAATAGTGGATTAATCCCAGATCATTGTATTAAAGATATCAAATATATACTAATTGTGTTAAATTATTATCGTAATTATACAGTTCATCACTCTCCTTCATATTCAATTTTTTTTTTAAATTCGGCTTTGATCTTATACTATAACTAGGGCTCCGATTTATAACACTATAAACTGGCAAATTTGTAAGAAAAAAACTAGACGCAAAAGGACTAGCAGGATAATTAAGCAGGAAAAATACACCAAAATATTGTTTGGTTACTAACCTGTAAGATGATTAGTGGAACATTTAATTAAAAAGTGCATGGCATGATGGACCAACGAAAACAAGGAAGCTAATACAATATCATAAAACACTAGAAACTTGGTTTGTATCTCTAGCATATACATAATACTTGGTTTGTCCCTTAAAAAAGACTTTATGATTAGTATGACTAGATTTTTTTTTTAATATAAATTAATGTTAATTTATTTGTGCAGAATAAAAAATTTTACTTACGAAAAGAGCCTTTTAGTGGAAGTCTCCTTGGCCCATTGGTTGACCAAGGGTTCATTAATGTTTCTACACCCAGAGGTCTGGGGTTCCACTCCCAGATACTGCGATTTATTAATAAATTTGCAGATTATTGGAGGCAAGTGTGCAGGAGATCTCCAGTGATGTACAATTAATATAGCCGTTCGCCAAGATTCTACACAGAGAAGGAAGTGTCCATCAAAAACCATAAAGAAGGAGGTGAAGGAGGTGAAGGAGATCGTGGATCTAATAAGAGTCGGAAGGAATTGTTCGTTGTAGAATCGTCTATATAACAGTTCTCATAATTTACAATAAATAATAAATCCAAACGACAAAAAAAAAAGCCTTTTAACCGGCTGAGTTTCTTCTACCAACGTTTACCACAACAACAACGTTTCGACCACTACACTTTGATCTTAGAAAATTTACTATTCTTTCATCTGATGTATATTTGAATCTGTCATAGAAACGTGTATCAATATTATTTTACAATCATATTTCAAAGGTAACAAGAATGATGCGATCAAAAGACTAAATTAGAAGTAATGGCGACCGTAGATTAACATCTCAAATTTGGCGATCACAAATCAAACTAGGAAAATTGAGGTCTAGTTGAATTACATGTGCGTATATTATCAATTTATAATTTATAATCACCAAGACAAACCAATTGCTGCTACTTGGTGCCACACTCGATCTGGAAGATTTTCTTGACATTGTCGCAAACGGTATATTAGGGTGATTGTATGAAGTATTCAAGATGCATGGTGTATTGGAGATGTTCCCATCACACTGATAGAACTTCACGAGAAGCTCTTAAACCCCCAAGAACGCTATCACATTCTGACTCTTACCAAGAGGTTTTTTCTTTCTCTCACAGCTTTTTGGTCATAAATTCTCTACAAAGTGGAGCGACATCCAAAGGACCATCACAGACACGTCTTTGGAGACGTATTGCCTATTCTTAACAAGGTACACCTTTCAACTTGGTAGTATATTCAATCTAGAGAGAGAGAAACAGCAAGAGACATGGAGAAAATCCAACCCTACAAGCACATTTGCCTTGCAATCTGGACAAACATGTTCGGAATCGCATCTCCTCCATACATGAGCAAGGAGATAGAAGATATGACGGATGTATGGAAGCTTGGTTTGCTTCAAGATAATCAATAGACTGAGTATGCATGTTTGATGTGAAATTTTTTATCAAAAATGTCTAAGAAGGATACACTTGTTGTAAAAAAAGTTCTTTTCGAATAAATTTTACATTTATTCAAAAAAAAAAAAAAGAAACGGCCAAGAGAACCATCAACAATATCATCCTTTTGTGGCTCATCTCCTTCGCCTCAGCAACAACCGTAAATGCTTCCGTGATAGTGGCAGCCACATGCACATTACACTATATATGCCATTCATGCAGATTACTCGGTTTTTGATCCTTGTTAATGAAGTAGCCTCAGATCTCCACAACCTCCTCATTCATTAATCACACCATGGTGGTGAGAATGTTATGACTGGAAATGGCACTTCCTTTCTCGTCTTCTTCTCTAACGTTTTTGGAAATGACCATTGTGTCATCTCGTAACCATTATCAAGTCTTTGTGGTTGTTGCTGAGTCATACCAGCTAATCGTACACACACATATGTTGCATGCACATAGAAAATTAGCTCTCTTTTACCAAATCCCTAGTTCTATGGGATTCACGACGTGTTTGAACAAGAAAACAAATAACAAACTGCACCTCGCATTTTAGAAGTCATAACAATAATTAACTAACATGTTCAATGCGTCGACTTTGCAAAATAATCTTCTTCTTTTTTTCTATTCAGATGTGATCATATTATTCAATTAAATAAAATAAAACACCACAAGGTTCTTCACGAAGCCAAATATACGTATATCCGACTCTTATTCAAACATGCACCTTGATATTTTTTTCTGTTAAATGACTTGTAATATTCTCATTACAACTCACGTACAAGCTTGACTATTGAAGATTTTGCCGAACATAAAAAAAAAAAAAAACTACTTATTTACAAGTTAACAATTAATGATCTTTTAGAAAATCTAATAATTAATTAACAACTTCTGTCTCTAGTCTTGAAATAGAACTTTACTTCTGTTTGTTTCTGTCTATTTGTGTTTATATACAGCTAGACGACTCTTCTCTTTTCTTCAACGTTAACATATTAAGATTTCTAGACATTAATTTCCGGAAATGGCCGAGGCAATGTTCAAAACGTTGTTGTTGGTCTTTGCGGCCACGGCTATTGCAACGGCCGAGGCAGCTCTTGGACAGCGAGTGCCTTGCTATTTCATTTTCGGAGACTCCGTCTTCGACAATGGTAACAACAATGTCTTGAATACCTCGGCCAAAGTCAACTATTCACCTTACGGTAATGATTTTGCTAGAGGTCCTACCGGCCGGTTCAGCAATGGTCGTAATATTCCTGACATTATCGGTTAGTCCCTGATTTGGTTTATCTCTTTGCCAATATTGTTTTGGATAAAATTGTTAATATAAACTACGAAAAAGAAAAGTTTTTTAATTTAAGAAAATACTAGCACAATGTTTTCTTTGCCTTGTTTGAACTTTTGAATGTAGGTACGTATATTATTTGTTTTTTGCTAGTGTATCAAATGAATAAATGAAGAATGGAAGAAATTAAAGTTTTGGTAAACATATGAACTAAGTTATAAAGAAAAATAACAGTCATAAAATGCTACTTAAATTATTATAATCATTTTACTAAATAGAATATCTTTAGCGGCCAAAATCATTTGTATATTAGTGTATCGCAGAATAAGTTTTCCAAAATTTGTGAATGTTACGTTCCTGTTAAAGAATTACGAATACAGTACATGAAAACTGTGTATAACTAATTTATAACTATAATATGTAATGAGTTTGAATAATTTTTCTTTATTTCAGCTGAACAAATGAGATTCAGTGATTACATTCCACCGTTCACGGGAGCATCGGCGGAACAAGCTCACACCGGAATAAACTACGCTTCTGGTGGCGGCGGAATTCGTGAAGAAACTAGCCAACATTTGGTAAGAATGAGACAAATCTAAGAGCGAGAGATATTAGAGTAAAGATATTTTTTATATTTGTTTACAACAACGCCTACTTTGAGCATCCCCTCGGTCATCTAATTCTTTGATTGCAGATGAAAAAAAAAATCTAAGACACTAATTAAATAGACAATATATATACAAATCGTAAGGAATAAAGTTTACACCATAATATATATGCGTTAGGTGAATGAATATAATAATCGATGAGTTTTCTTTCTAGGTAACGTATAACTAACTAATCATGTGACTGATCACTTTGAAGTTTAAAGAAGCCTTCATTCTTTGGATTATCAAATTAAAAAGCTTAGGCTTCAAATAGGCAGCATGGGTCACAACTCACAAGGAATCCAATTTAAATTATGATACAAATGTTGTTATGTAACTAAGAATAAATAATTCCTTCTAGGGAACTAATCATTTGACTTTAATTGATATGCTTTCTTTTGGCAGGGGACGTTAAAGTTACTCATGCATATAATATTTCTTCCATTAAAAAGACAAACTATATAATGTTTTATATGGATTATGATATATTCTTTTTTGACGATATAGGGTGGAAGAATCAGTTTTAAAAGGCAAATAAAGAATCACCGGTCGATGATTATGACGGCTAAAGTTCCAGAGGAGAAGCTGAATAAATGTCTATACACAATTAATATTGGAAGCAATGATTATCTCAACAACTATTTCATGCCGGCTCCATACATGACCAATAAGAAGTTCAGTTTCGATGAATATGCTGATTCTCTCATTCGAAGTTATCGCTCTCATTTGAAGGTACAATAATTACATATGCCTAAGATTTTAGGAAAAATAATACTATAGAATGTATTTTAATATCGTATGAAAAGGTGGAAAAATGAATAACTAACTAAAATATGAATGGCCATATTAATATTTTTAACTAGAAAAAAAACGAACGTATATTCATAATCATATATCCTTAAGTACATTAATGTAAAGATGAATTTTGTGTATAGTCATTGTATGTTCTAGGAGCAAGAAAGGTTGCTGTGTTTGGGGTGAGTAAGCTCGGATGCACGCCGCGTATGATTGCCTCCCATGGTGGCGGTAATGGCTGTGCTGCCGAAGTAAACAAAGCGGTAGAACCTTTCAACAAGAACCTCAAAGCTCTTGTCTATGAATTCAACCGAAACTTTGCTGATGCTAAGTTCACCTTCGTTGATATCTTTAGCGGCCAAACTCCTTTCGCGTTTTTCATGTTAGGTATGTAAACTCTGTATATATTATACTGACTACATTTTTGACCCAATAGGAAATTATTTGAGTAAATGTTTTTAAGAACATATAGATTAGGAAACTATTTTTTAAATAATACGTTTTGTAAACTATTATCATGATTATTATCTACATAAACTATTTACTTAAAACTACACATGTTCATATAATTTTTTTTCTATTTTTATAATTATACGTTTTGTAAACTATTATCATAATTATTCTCTTTAAAACTATTTACTAAAAACCTTCATATTCATACAAAGTTTTTATAAATATTTTGACCTAGTCCCTTTTTTATACTAAATTCATAAAGATAGATAGAGTTTGTTTTTGTCAGAGATTTCAAATAGAAATTTTATTTTCATAGTGGCATAATTGCATGCTGTTTTTCGATTCCTTTCCTATGGTTTAATCATAAATTTATCACATATATTTTTGTAGGGTTTAGGGTAACAAACAAAAGCTGTTGTACGGTAAAACCAGGGGAAGAACTTTGTGCGACAAATGAACCGGTTTGTCCAGCTCGAAGATGGTACGTGTACTGGGACAACGTCCACAGCACAGAAGCAGCCAATATGGTCGTTGCAAAGGCT